AGCGAGAGCCACAATATGAAAAGGAACCGCCCTCACTCCGTGAACCTCTTGCAAATGTTGAAACGAATGTGCAGGGCGCTGAGGCGAGACCCACACTCTGACAACCACCCGCCCTCAAGCCGTGAAGCTCCAGCAATTCTGGTTAAACGGATGTGCGCGGCGCTACAATGAGAGCCACATTTAAAAAACCACCCGCCCTCAATCCGTGAACCTCTTGCGAATGTTCAAAACGAATGTGCGCGGCGCTTAGGCGAGAACCACATGTTGAAAACCAACCGCCCTCAATCCGTGAAGCCCTTGCGAATGTTTAACACGAATGTGCGCGGCGCTCAGGCGAGAGCAACATTTTGAAATCAAACCCGCCCACTATATAAGGTTCATAATCATACATGGTGAGAGTCTCACGCGAAACGCCTGGCCCGCCCTAAAAACTGGCCTGTGAGTGCGACGGGGGGAACTTATGTATAAGGAGATCGACTGGAGAAGGAGGGGGAGGGGGAGGAGGAGGACGAGGGAGAGGAGGAAGGATGAGAAGATTGAGGGCGAGGCTGAGGATGAGGAGGAGGAGGAGGGCGAGGAGGAGGAAGATGACGGAGGATGACGGATTAGGAGGAGGAGGATGAGGAGGAGGAGATGGAGTAGGAGGACGAGGAGGAGGAGGAGGAGGAGGAGGAGGAGGAGGAGTAGGAGGAGGAGGGGAAGGAGGAGGAGGAGGAGGACGACGACGACGAGGAGAAAGAGGCGGAGGAGGAGGACGACGATGACGAGGAGAAAGAGGAGGAGGAGGCGGAGGGAAAGCGGGGGGCAGGAGGAGGTAGAAACTGAGGAGGAGGAGGAAGGGGCAAGGAGGAGGAGAAGGAGGATGATGATGATGATGACAAGCCCTGAGGTCAGGGTTCGGCCGCCTGGCCCGCCTCCTCAGATGAGGAGCAAGTACTGGCCGAAGGGGCTCACGTCCTCCGCGCCTGCCGCCCGCAGCCGACCTGCGCGACGAGCTTCTTGAACTCGGCTGCCCTGGCCTCCGCGCTCGCCCTCGACTCCACGGAGTCGGCGCTGGCTCGAGCCGCCCGCGGCGATGTACCGGCAGCAGCAGCCTCGGCGTCGTGCTCGAGGTCGCCCAGCGGGACACGGCGGCCGCCGTCCAGCGCGGCCACGCGGTCGTCGAAGGCGCCGCCGTGTCCACGTCCTTGCCCTCGAACGCTCGGTGCGGCCCGAGGATCCCAGGGCCCTGGCCAATCGCCGAGGGCGGGGACTCTTTCCCAGGCATGCCCGTGGCGCTGAGGGGGGTACGCGGCAGTCGGCCTTCGCACCGCCCCCTCTGCGGCCGCCTCGGCGCCGCGCCCGCTGCCCTCGAGCGCGGCCGAGGCACTGGCGCCGTCGCGCTCGCCCAGGCTGGGGGCGGCCGCGCCTGGGGCCTGCTGCTCTCGCGCGCCAGCCGCCGCCAGGAGACGGGCGACGCGCTCGGCGAAGCCCAGCGAGCCCAGCGCCGTCGCGGCGTTGCCGTCCAGCGCGTCCGAGGCGCCGCCGGCCGCAGCCGAGTCGCTCGCAGCCCCCGCAGCAGCCGCCTCGGCGTCGTGCTCGGTGTCGCCCAGCGCGCCCTCGAGGTCGACGTCCAGCGCGTGCGAGCCGTCGACGCCCGCCGTAAGGCCGCCCGCCGCCCCCGCAGCTGCGGCCTCCGCGTCGTGCTCGGTGTCGCCCAGCGCGCCCTCGGTGTCGACGTCCAGCGCGTCCGAACCGTCGACGACCGCCAGCGAGCTGCCCGCCTCCCCAGCAGCAGCAGCCTCAGCGCCGAAGCCCAGCGCGCCCAGGAGGCCGTCGTCCAGCGCGCCCGAGCTGTCGAGGTCCATCGCCAGGCCAAGCGCCTCCGCAGCAGTTGCAGCCTCGGCGTCGTGCTCGTCGTCGCCCAGCGCGTCCCCGACCTGGACGTCCAGCGCGGCCGAGCCGTCGAAGCAGTCCGTACCCAGGCCGAGCGCCTCCCCAGCTGCTGCCGCCTGGGTGTCGTGCTCGTCGTCCAGCGCGTCCGAGCCGTCGAAGGTCGCCGCCGAGCCGCGCGGCGCCCCCGCGCCAGCAGCCCCAGCAGCAGCACGCTCCGCGATGTGCTCCACGATGTCCGCCGCGGCCGAGGAGGAGACGCCCTGCGTGGCCGCGCGGCGCGGCCCCGAGCTGGCGGCGGCGCTGGGCCCACCAGCAGCAGCAGCTCCTTGAGCCCCCCTGAGTCGCGCCCCAGCACGCCTATCCCTTCGAGTTCCGCGAACTACCTCCTGCTGGAAGTCTCCTCTGGCCACCGCGTGCCCGAACATGGAGAGGAGAAGGAGGAGGATGAGGAGGACTCGGAAGAGGGTGAGGGTGAGGATGATGAGGAGGAGGAGGACCAGTGTAAACCCAAGCGTTATTAACGATGTTGGGGTAAACCCTCTCTCCATGCTCCGTCTTCATAGGCCCCTACAACAAACAATACATTTCATTGATGGAACTGCCTTGTTGGAAGACACCCGTTTGAAGACCCTGAAGCATGCCAAAACATTGTTTTCGGGATTCCACCGCCACGGATCAACCTGACTGCTGCGTCGTGACGATCTGGAGCCGCACCAGAACGCCACTCCTAGGACGTCGACACAGAAAACAAACGTAACTGTTGCACCCGCAGAATCCCGAACCCGTCCAAAACACCACTTCTGGTACGCTGGTCATGGGAATCCGTGAAACTATTTACAAATGTGTAAACGAATGTGCGCGCCGCTAGGGCGAAGTTCACATGTTGGAAAGGAGCTGCCCTTCATCGGCGAAACTCTTGCAAGACATTTTTGTGTTGAGAAAGGTGCGCCGCGCTAGGGCGAGAGCCACATGTTGAACACGACCCGCCCTCAATCTGGAGCGAGAGCCACACTTTGACAACCACTCACCCTCGATCCGTGGATCTCTTGCAAGCTTTCAGCAACGAATGTGGGCGGGCTAAGGCGAAAACCACATTTCGAAAACCACCCGCCCTCAATCCGCGAAGCCCTTGCAATTTTTGTTAATCAACGCGCGCCGCGCCAAGGCGAGAGTCACATTTTGGAAAATGACCCGCCCTCCATGAGTGGAGCGGTTGCATGTTTAAAGCTTCAGAGACGTAAGTGGTGAGAAAGTCTCAGGCGAAACGCCCCGCCCACCGTTAAAACTGGCATCGGGGTGCCGCAGGGAAGAGTTATTTATAAGGAGAAGGAACCGAGGAGGAGGAGGGGAGTAGCAACGAGGAGGAGGAGAAGGAATAATAATAAACCCAGTGTAAACCCAAGAGTCCATAACATTGTTGGAGTAAACCCTCTCTCCAAGCTCCGTCTTCATAGGCCCCTACAACAATTCATTTCCATTGGCGGAACTGCCTCGTTGGAAGACACCCGTTTGGAAACCCTGAAGAATGCAAACACATTGTTCTCGGGACTCCAACACCACGGAAACTCCTGACTGCTGCGCCCTGACGATCTGGAGCCGCACCAGAACGCCATTCCTAGGCCCTCAACACAGAAAGTCAAGCTAACTGCTGCTCCCGCGAAATCCCAAACCCGTCCAAACACCATTTCTGGTACGTTGATCATGGAAATCCGTGGAACTCTTGCAAGTAATTGTTATGTAAAGAAAGGTGCGCCGCGCTAAGGCGAGAGCCACATCTTGAAAACCACTCGCCCTCAACCTGTGAAGCTCTTCTAAATGTTTGACATAAGAAGGTGCGCGGCGCTAAGGCGAGGGCCACATTTTGAAAAAACACCTACCCTTAATCCGCTAAACTCTTGCAATAGTTTAAAACAAATGTACGTGGCGCTCAAGCGAGAGACACATTTCGAAAACGATCCGCCCTCAATCCGTGAAACTTTTGCACATGTTTCAAACGAATGAGCGCAGCGCTAAGGTGCGAGCCACATTTTGAAAACCACCCGTCCTCAATCCGTGAAGCTCTAGCAATAGTTTAAAATAGATGTGCGCGGCGCTAAGGCGAGAGCCACATTTTGAAAACGGCCCGCCCTGCATCTGTGAAACGGTTGCCACGTTTTAAGCTTCAGTCATAAATGGTGAAGAAGTCTCAGGCGAAACGCCCAGCCCGCCCTAAAAACAGGCCTGGGGGCGCGACAGGGAAAAATTATTCATATGCCGAATGAATGGAGGAGGAGGAGGAGAAGGAGGAGGAGAAGGAGGAGGAGGAGGAGGAGGAGTCCCCGTGAGGAGGTTGCCCGCTGCGCCAGCGTCGGTTGGACCCGACCTGGGCCGAGGCCGAGCCCCGCGTGTCCGGGCAGCGCGCCCGGCGCGGGCTGCCAGGGCTCTCACGCTCCCAACCTCTCAACTCCGCAGGTGCTGACGATTGCAGAAATCATGACGCCAGAAAAACTCCTGGCGCTCCGCGTGGAGTTCCTGGATCTGCGCTGGACCCCGCTCACAGGGCGGCGCCGGAGGCGCCGCCCGGGGGGCCCAGCTCGGATACAGGGAATCGGCGCGGAGCGCCAGAAGTTTATGTTTATGGCGTTTTTGTTCCTCCTTCGATGTCAGCTCCAACGCGTTAGCCCCAAGTGCTTGACTCTGACCCCAAACTTCTGAACTCCGCCACCCCAAAGCTCTGAAGACAAACTCCTGCACCCCAACCGTCTTGGACCTGAGGGGCAGGGTTCGAACGTGGTCGCAGATAGGCTGACCTCGGCTTCAAGGAAGCTCGGGCACCACGTGGCACGCTCAGGTCGCGGATGAATGAAAAAGCGACACAAACAGCAAACAGTTTCGGGGGTTCGCGCGGGGCCGCGGGACTGGCGGTGCCTCCGAGGCGTGCCCGGTGGGGAGGGGAGGAAATAGCGGAGAGCAGGAGAGCGGGAGAAAGGGCGAGGAGGGAAAACGGGCGTGAGGAGAGGGGGGAGAGAAGCAGGAGGGGAGAGGTGCGTCCGGAGAAGGGCCCACGGCCAACCACGGGAACCTCCCGCGCCCTGTGCTTGTGCCGCTTTTTGCTTTGCGCCGCGGGGGGTCCACGGTCGGCATGCTCAGGCCTGCCCGGCCCGCTCTGCCGCCGGGGTCACGTCGCCCGCGGTGTCCTCGCGGCAGGTGCACGGGGGCGCAGGGCGACGGCGATGCGGGGGGCAGTTGGATACCCCCTCGCTGCCGCTCTCGTGATCGTCCTCCCTCCATCCCTTCTCCCACCTGCGCGCTCCCTTACTGTGGCTAGCATGTGAGCGTAGTCATCTCGATCTTGCTGTATTACCTGCATGACATGTATTTCTCCTTCCATATATATATATATATATACACATAGATATATGTCCCTATCTGAACATACATATATATATATGTATATACACACCCCGTATCTCTACAATGTGTTTGTCTGTCTGTCTCTAGATGTCTTTCTGTCTGTCTGTCTGTCTGTCTGTCTGTCTGTCTGTCTCTGTCTGTCTGTCTGTCTGTCTCTCTCTCTATGTATATATATAAGTTTCTCTCTCTCTCTCTCTGACCCGATGGCTCTCACTCACTCTCTCTCTCTTTCTCACCGCTCTCTCTCTCTCTCTCTCTTCCCTTTATTCCATCCCTCTACGTATGCACATGTGTGTAACTATATACATTCATGTATGGCTGTTTGGCGCCGCCGAATCCCAAACAGTAGCAAACATACTCTGAACCTCCAGCCCGTACCGCAACGGATGTGATCACAAGTTGCACCACTCCGAACCCTCCAGCATTCACTCGACACTACGACTGGGGCTGCTGAAGCCGAGGCAACGTGGATCCACCGGAACACCACATGTTCGAAGAGACGCATTCCGAATCACTGAAAACATGACGCAAACCCACTCCCCAATCCATTACGGAATAATCAGCCGATCTGTCAGACCGCGAGACACTTCGAATTCGGCCTCAAACACACTGAGCATCTTCCCCACATGTTTGATTCGTTCTCCTGCTATCTCTCTCTCTCTTTCTCTATTTGTTTGTTGCTCTCTCTCTCTCTCTCTCTCCTCGGCGGTCTCGTTGGCCAGCGGCACCGCGACTGACTCGCATGTGTCCTGGGGTCCATACAGGCCGGTAGCTTGATGGGAGCTGCCCAGTCCATTGATAAGAAGAGGGGGGGGACCACGGAGGAAGGGAGGAAGACGGCAGAAACAGAACAAGAACAAGAACACATCGGAAACCGACACCTTCGACGAATTGTGTGGGACGGGCCCTCGAATGGCAATTGGGCGCTCCAAGTATTGTGCAACGTCGCGCCCAGCCGCCTCCTCCTGCTTCATGGTTCATAATTAGAGGCGACCCAGGGACACACCAATAAATATACACAAATAACAGGATTCCCCATTGTTTCCAATACCTATACGACCACCCTTCGGGTGATAGGGAGGTTCGGGGGGGGGGGGAACCAACGTCTCACTCGATCGGTCTCACTACCGACCTCACTATCGACCTCACTATCGGCCTCGCTCGATCGATCTCACTCGATCGATCTCACAATCGATCTCACTCGATCTGCTTCATTCGACCGATCTCACAATCGATCTGGCTATCGATCTCACAATCGAGCTCACTATCGATCTCACTATCGATCTCATTGAATCGATTTCACTCTCGGTCCCACGATCGATCTCACTATCGATATCACAATCGATCCCACAATCAAATTCATCATCATCACCCTCATCATCGTCATCAACGTCATCACCATCAACATAATCATCATCGGGACACAATCATCATCATCATCATCATCACCTCATCACCATCATCATCAACACCATCATCATCGGGACACCGTCATCATCGGGACACCATCATCGTCACCATCATCATTAAAATCACAATCATCGGGGCACAACCATCATCATCATCGGGACACCACCATCACCATCATCTCAACATCATCATCATGAACAACATCATGAACAACATCATCATCATCTCGACACCATCATCATCAACAACATCATCATCACCAACATCATAATCGGGCCACCATCATAATCACTATCATCATCACCACCATCATTATCATCGAGACACCATCATCATCAACATCAGCACCATCATCATCACCATCATCGGGCCACCATCATCAAAATCAGGATCATCACCTCATCATCCTCATCATCAACATCACCATCATCATCGGGACATCATCATCGTCATCATCATCATCAAAATCAGCATCGTCATCGGAACACCATCATCGTCATCACCATCATCATCAACAGCATCATCATCATCATCATCATCATTGGGGCAGCATCATCATCATCTCCATCATCATCACCTTGTCATCATATCATCATCATCAACATTATCAGGATCATCATCATCATCATCATCATCATCATCATCGGGAACCCATCATCATCATCATCATACTCATCATCGACATCACCATCATCATCGGACACCATCATCACCACCATTACCATCCTCATCATCATCAACATCGTCATCATCATCATCATCATCATCATCATCATCATCGGGGCCCCATCATCATCACCACCATCACCATCATCGTCATCATAATGATCATCAGCATCATCATCAGCATCGTCGATCATCATCATCATCATCATCATCATCACCATCACCATCACCATCACCATCACCATCACCATCACCATCACCATCACCATCACCATCACCATCACCATCATCATCACCATCACCATCCATCATCATCATCATCATCATCATCATCATCATCATCATCATCATCATCATCATCATCATCATCATCATCATCATCATCATCATCATCATCATCATCATCGGGACACCGACAGGACACCGGCGGGACACCGGCGGGACACCGCGGGCCACCTGCCCCTGGAGAGGAATCATTTGGTCCTGCCGCGCCTCAGCCGGAGGCGGGACACTGGCGGGACACCGCGGGCCACTGGCCCCCGGAAAGGAATCATTTGGTCTAGCCGCGCCTCAGCCAGAGGAGACTTTCTTCTCGCCCGCCCACGCAGCTTCGCCTCGCCCGCACGCACGGCACGCACGAACACGAAACCGAAACCGATTTCCCGGTAGGGGGGCTCTCCGTTCCACTTCGATCTCACCCCCTCACCTCCGATTTTCTGGGTTTTCGTCTTCCCCCCACTTCCCCTATTTTCCTGCATCTTTGGGGAATCGACGATTCATTGTGTCTGTGTGTGTTTTTCCCTCCTGAATGGTGGCAAGGGCGGTCTCCGAACGCTGCCCCCACCCCCAAGGCCGGCCGGCCTTGGGCGGGTGATTGAACTAATGCCAGGCGACCCCAGGAGCACCGCTCCAGGAGTCGCCGGCAGGCATCGGCAGAAAGCAGGAAGGGGTACAACAGAGGAACAGGCAGACAGACCAGAGGAGAGGGATAGCGATGGGCGGAGGAAAGAACAGCCCCCTCCCGCCTCCTCCCTCGCCTCCTCCTCGGCCTTCGCCTCCGCCACAGCCTCGGCCTTCTCCTCCTCGGCTTGTCTGATGTTCTTCCCATCGTACTCAAGGACCACACCCCAAGACTAAGTTCGAAGACCAAGAAGAGTATCGAAACAGTGTATGCCCAACACGCTAGCGCAGCGTCGAACGAGCATCGCCTCCCAGGGCCAGACACGTGAAGACCCTGCAGTTTCGGTACCCTCTTGGTGCTCCAGGCTGCCTCTGCTGATCACTTATCAGGGCCACAAGCAGGCTGGAACATCAGGACCCTCGCCCCCTCGCCGGCCTTCGCCTCCGCCACAGCCTCGACCTTCCCCCCGCCTGCTTGCCATCCTTTCCCATCGCCTGGGCCCCCCGCTCGCTACGCGCCCTGCGCACCACGGCTGCGCGACGCGCGGCCACCTCCGCGCCCTCGCGCCGCCGTGCGCTGGCCATCGCTCGGACGTCCATTCCCTGTGTTTTTTGTCGGCTTCGTGCGTGGTTTTTTCGCCAAATGATCAAGGATGCTCCTCGATGGTCCTCGCCGAAAGAAAAATGCACACGTCCGAGCGATGCCAAGGTCGCTGGCTACGGCCGCGGCGCGCGATCACCTCCGCGCCCCTGGGGCTCACCTGCAGCCCTTTTCGGCGACACTCGGGTCGGGCGAAAAAAGGGGGGACGGCAAAGGGAGGTTTGAGACTCAGATCACGCAGCCGAACTTCCCGGCGCCCCCCGGCGCAGGAAGCGGCCATGTATCGAGGAATGGGCCCCTGTGCCGGGCCGGGCGAAAGGGGGGGATAGGGAAAGGGGGGGTTACGAAATCTGCTGCATGCAGCTGGTTTCGGCCCCACCGAGGGGCCCCTTCCTCGATACATGGGCGCCTCCCGGCGCCGGAAAAAGCAGCTACGTGAGCTGATTCTCAAACCCCCCCTTTCCCAATCCCCCCCCCCTTTTGCCCGGCCCGATACACGCGGGAGCGGCCCCGGGCAAAGAGAAGACCCCTGGCTCGCGGCGTGTTTGTGGGGGGGCCGACGCTCTGCACCTCCACCGTCACCTTCCATATTACCAGCCTCGAGCGTGTCCCTATCTCTAAGATGGACACGCCAGAAGGCGATGACAATCTTAGGGATCCGCCCTCAAAAAATGAGGGAATCCCTAAGCTTGGCATCGTGATGAGGAGGTGCCCAGCATAGGGATAGGGATATGTTCCAGGCTGGTAATCCATACCTTCCGCCCACTGCGGAAGGTGCGGGGGAGTTCATCGAACTCGTGGGAGCATGACGTAACTCAAGGGAACCGACATCGATCGGATCGAAGAAGGGGCGGAAGGTTCGTGCTGGAGGTCCGGAAGACTGAGGGGAAGGGCGGAAGGGCCAAACCCGAGCGCGCGAGACGCTGCCATCGCCCAGGGCTCGGAGATTTGGGGACCCTTGTGGGCCCGCACCAAGGGTCACTCCTGCGAAGGGTCACTCTTGCGTGTGGCCGACCAGTTTGCGAGGCGCGCATAGGAGGGTAGGGGGAGGGGTTTAGGGTTTAGGGTTTAGGGTAGGAGGCATAGGAGGCTGGCCCCCGGCCCAAGGTGCCCCCCAGCTCTTCGCTCCATTTTGGAGCCCCTGGCGTGACGAAGCCAGGACGAGGAGAACACCGGGAGCGGATCGATCGAGCATCTCTGAGATCCCGCGGGCCCCGGAGGGTGTCTCGGGCGCCGCGGCCTTTTCAGAGCGTTCCGGAACGCTTCGAGAGCGTTCCGGAACGCTGTGGAAGAGATATATCCTCGTCCTAGCCCCGTTCGACCTGGGGCCCTCTGGGCTCCCCCGAGAGAATCCTGGGAGGGAGGGACGAGGCAGGCCCACCCTCCATCGGATCGAAAGCTCGAAGTCGGATCGGAGGAGGACTGGGCCGCAAGGAGCCGGAAACAGGAGCGCCAGATCGGATCGGCATGGGACATCCAGAAGCACTTCGGGACGGAACCAGAACCGAATCTGCCGCACTCGAATCGACACCGAAATCGAACTCGGTGTCCCAGTACCCCCCAGCACCCCTCAGGACCTGGCAGAACCCCCAGAACGCCTCAGGACCACCCAGGATCTCCGTCTCGCCGTCGTCGTGGAAGGAGGGAGGAGAAGGGGGGAGCGTTAGATGCTCGTTCTTGGGAGCAGCGATACAACGAATTGACAAAAATGAAGACGTAAGTTTTTCACCGTCGAGTGCCTCCAGAGGCCCTCGCCAGGCATAGGGACCGTCATATCAAAATTGACTCAGAAATTAAACATCACTCAGGATGTGAAGCTGGTCTCGGGGCATGGGTTGAAACCTCTGGGGGCCCACGCCATGAAAGAAACACGACGCAGGGGGTCTGGGAGCGGCGAACGTATCCATATTCACGATGAGAAAAAAACACATAAACGTAAACTTTTGGCGCTCCGCACGGACTTCTTGGATTCGCGCTGGGTCCCCCTCCCTGGCGCGGGGAGCGCGCCCGGGGCGGCGCTGGAGGCGCCGAGGGGCCACAGCGCGGATCCGATCAATCCGCGCGGAGCGCCAAAGTTTAGGTCTATGTGGTTTTCTTCTTCGAGATCTGGATGCCAAGGCGCGATCCCGCGGATGCGCGGGCGCACGGGTGCGTCCCACGCGGGGCAGCCGCGGGCAAAACGCCCGAGTTAAAGCCAGAGGCTCCACGCCTGCGGCAATACTGCGCCGAACGTCTGGCGGCGTGAGCTGAACTTGAGCCGAACTTGGGTCGCGCTGGGGCCAGACTAGATGCGAGCATCCGAAGGCGAGAGGGGCACCCTCCCGCCGCCCCCTGGGGAGAAGGACGCCTCTCTAACGCGAACCGCGAGGCGCGATCACGCCTGCGGCAATACTGCGCCGAACGTCTGGCGGCGTGAGCTGAACTTGAGCCGAACTTGGGTCGCGCTGGGGCCAGACTAGATGCGAGCATCCGAAGGCGAGAGGGGCACCCTCCCGCCGCCCCCTGGGGAGAAGGACGCCTCTCTAACGCGAACCGCGAGGCGCGATCATCTTCGCGCCCCGGGGGCCCCCGGCCCGGGGGGGGGGACCTAGACGAACAGGGGAGGAGGACAAGGTTTGGGTCGGGCATGTCCCCTTACAGGCGGATCCAGGAAAAAAACAGAAAAGTCAAAACAATGCTCGAACATATACATTTGACTACTCATGGATATTCATTCCTCCAACAGAGGGACAGGCCCGACTTACGACAAGGGAGGCGGAGACCAGCCCCCCACGCCGCAATCTTCTTACAGCGTGGGACGCCTCGAGGTCTCTCCTCCCCTCCTCCTCCTCCTCCTCCTCCTCCTCCTCCTCCTCCTCCTCCTCCTCCTCCTCCTCCTCCTCCTCTCCTCCTCCTCCTCCTCCTCCTCCTCCTCCCCCTCCTCTTCCTCTCCTCTTCCTCCTCCTCCTCCTCCTCCTCCTCCTCCATCCCCTCCCCCTCCTCCTCCTCCCCCTCCCCCCCTCCTCCTCCTCCTCCTCGTCCTCCTCCTCCTCCTCCTCCTCCTCCTCCTCCTCCTTCCCCGGGACCAACTTATCATCCCGAGAAGCATTCGGAGCGTCCCCGGGCCCCACGAGGTGCTGCAAAGGGTCTACGCTGGCCGCGCACACCTCTGCTCCCGTCGCCACTGCTTCTCCTAAGTCGAGGGTGCATTGGAAATGGGGGAGCGGACGCCAACCGCCGGCGGAGGTTGTGCGTATAGGGCTACGACCGAGGAGTCGATCCTATACTACGGTCCGTAGGTAGAGGCAAAAAAGGAAGAGGTTAGCTACTCCTTTGTCCTGGGCGCTGCGCGGAGAGCAACGCACTGCGAGTGTTAATGCGAATGCCTGAGTCGATACAATTGCGGTATATGATGATATAATGGGATTGTATGAGCGGACTTCACACACAGAGGTCGTGCCACAGCACCCCTCTCCAAGAGAGGAGGGGCCAGGCCGAGACTCCTATGAGGCGCTCCCCGGGACCGGCTCGCGGGTCCGCTGGGCATCGGCCCCTGGACCCCTGGGCCCACCCTGCCAACCTCTTGCCATCGCTCGGGCGTCCTTGCTGAACGCACTCTTCGGCCTCGGGCGCTCTTCGCTTCGCGATCCGATCCCCGCTGCTCCTCCTCACAAGGCTCCTCGCCGAGGAGCGAAACCGAACGCGTCCGCGCGACTCCCGCGGCATTTCGAGAGGCGGAGCCGGCCGCCGCGCCGCGAAGAGAAGCCTCCAGGAGGCCCCCAGGAGAGCAAGATACGCCAAGGGCCGCCGCCGCCGTCTCGCCTGGGCCCCGTCCCGATTCAAGCCCTCTCCCCGATGCCGCCTTCGCCCTTCCCTGGACTGCGTGCCCCCCCCCCCCTGCCTGGCTTCACCCCCGGAGGAGGAGGAGGAGGAGGAGGAGGAGGAGGAGGAGGAGGAGGAGGAGAAGGAGAGGCGGAGGAGGAGGAGGAGGAGGAGGAGGAGGAGGAGGAGGAGGCCCAGGAGGAGGGGGAGGCGGAGGAGGAGAGGAGGAGGAGGAGAGGAGGAGAGAGGAGGGGGAGAGGAGGAGGAGGAGGAGGCGGAGGCGGAGGAGGAGGAGGAGGAGGAGGGGAGGAGGAGGAGGAGGAGGAGGAGGGAGGAGAGAGGAGGAGGGAGGAGGAGGAGGAGGAGGAGAGGAGGAGGAGGAGGAGGAGGAGGAGGAGGAGGAGGAGGAGGAGGAGGAGGAGGAGGAGGAGGAGGAGGAGGAGGAGGAGGAGGAGGAGGAGGAGGAGGAGGAGGAGGCGGAGGAAGAGGAGAGAGGAGGAGGAGGAGGAGGAGGAGGAGGAGGAGGAGGAGGAGGAGGGGCGTCCCCAGGGATTCCTCCTATTGGCCTTCCACCCCGCCCACGCCCCGGCGGCCGGGCGAGCGACAGCTGTGTATCCACTCGAATAGGCCGCTGCCCTCTGAAGATCGGGCGTTGCTAGAAGTACCCCTCGGACCAGCGGGCCGGGCGGGCGGGCCCTGGCCGGCGAGTCGGGCGGCGGGCGGGGCCCGAGCGGGCGGGGCGCTCTGCCTCCTCCTCCTCCTCCTCCTCCTCCTCCTCCTCCTCCTCCTCCTCCTCCTGCTCCTCCTGCTCCTCCTGCTCCTCCTCCTTCTGCTCCTCCTGCTCCTCCCCCTCCTCCTGCTCCTCCAGGTACCCCCAGCTTGTCGCACTATCTTTGAGCCCCTGGGGCCCTCTGGGTCTCGTGAGGGGTGCCCTGGAGGCCGTCTGGGTCATCCCGAGAATCCTGGGGGAAGCTTGGGCCAGGGGGTGATTCTAGCAACACCCGAGAAGAGAACGGCACCTCTCTGGCCCAGGAACGCGACGCCGCGGTGTGCGCGATCGTCTTCGCGCCGCCGCGGGCAGCCCACAACTCCTCTGTCGTTTCTCTGGCGCCCCCTGCCGCTCTCCTGGCGCCCCGTGGCACCCCGGGCGCTCAGTCGGTCCATGGAGCTGCCTCGATATGGTGCGCCGAGGGGCTATTGTTAAGTCGGGCCTGTCCCTCTACATGAGGAATATTCAAACATAGTCTGAAATAGTCTGGGGACGATTTGACTGACTACGTTTGACCATTTTGGGGGCATTGTCTGACTATTTTGATTTTTCGTCCCAAATCCCCCTGTAGGGGGACAAGACCGATCTAATGCTATTGCAGGGGCAATGATGGGGAAGATCTCCCCCCGGCATCCAGGTGGGCACAGCGAACAGCAAATAATACGGCGCCAACATCGCGATCTCGACATGCGGCCGGAGCCCGTGACTGCGTTTGAGCTATGATGCCCGTCAACAATTCGGTCCGACCAGCTCCAGACCTCTCCAGAGATCCGACGTCGCGTTTTTGTCACAACGTGGCCCCCGAAAAGTATGGAAAGATCTGGGCCCCTTCCCCTCTAATCCTCCACACACATCCGACGTCGCGTTTTTGTCACAACGCGGCTCCCAGAATTTGCAAGGTCTGGGCCTCTTACTTTCCAAGGCCCTGCTTCTGCTCTGGAATTCTTCTCTGACGGTTCTGGGGGCCGGCACCAGAGGCCAAGGTCGTCGGCGGGCGAGGAGGGAAGTGAGAAGGAGAAGGCCTTCTCAGAAGGCGGCAGGACTTCACAGAAGCCCCGCGCGCCTTCTGAGAAGTGTTCGGTGTCTTCGAGGAAGGCTCGAACACCCCTCAGAAGGCCAGGGGGCTTCCGAGCCTTCCGAGGAAACCCGCCCCGTCTCACTTCCCCCCCTGGCCAACCGCCGACGAGAGGCCGACGGCTGCAACAGAAATCATGACGCCCTGATGATGCCACCACGCGAGGTGGCCCGCTCTCTGGCCATAGCTCGGGCCACTCTCGCCGAGGCTAATAAACTGTCCGACCACAGAAGGCCCCGCACACGCCCGGCTGCTCGCCTGCTCGGCAGCGCGGGGGCACCGCGACTCCTGCGCGCACCCGGGGCACGGGCCGACCGAGGGAGGCGGGCCGGGCAAGGGGGCAGAGCCGGGCACAGGCTTAAGCGAGGGGCCCAGGACCCAGACCCCCTCGAGTCATGAAAAAATCACGACGGCAGGTTGTTCGCTATTGTCGGCCTCCGGGGGCCCTTACCGGCCCTCAGGACCGTCAAAAAACGACTCAGGATGAAAAACCGGTCCCGGGGAATCGGTCCGGACCTCTGGGGGTCGCGTCATGAAAAAATCATGACGTCGGGGGTCTGGGGAGCGAGGCGGGGGAGGAGCCGAGAGGGCCGAGGAGCGCTCTGGACACGACGTAGCCCGCGCCGGGTGGGCCCCACGGAGGGCCCCCGGCGACGTCGTGGGGCCCCCCGGCGCCCCTGCCTCCGCGGGAGGCCCCGGCGCCCCGGCGGTCCTTGTCGGGGCACTCCGGCTTCGGGTGGTCCTCCTTCGCCGGGGGGAGGGGGCGGCGCAGGCGGGGCTGCGCAGCGCCAGGGGAGGAGGAGGAGGGGGAGGAGGGGGAGGAGGAGGAGGAGGATGAGGAGGAGAGGAGGAGGAGAGGAGGAGGAGAAGAGGAGGAGGAGGAGGAGGAGGAGAGGAGGAGGACGAGGAGGAGGAGGAGGAGGAGGAGGAGGGGGAGGGGGAGGAGGTAGGAGGGAGATAGGAGGAAGGTAGGAGGAGAAGGAGGAGGAAGAGGAGAAGGTAGGAGGAGGAGAAGGAGGAGGAGGAGTTGGAGGAGTTGTTGGAGGATTTGGGGGAGGAGTTGGAGGAGGAGGAGGAGGAGAAGATGGAGGAGGACTGTGTCAGGCGCCACGGTCCTCCAAGAGTGCCTGAGGCCACTCTGAGAGCGTTCCAACACGCTCTGGAGCGATCTATCCCGATCCGAGCTGGGCCTCACTGAAGAACGCCAGCTGTACACCGACGCCCGTCTTGGCCAGGCCAACGCTGCGCTAAGGAACGGCTGCACTCGCATTCCTGGCGTCGAATGTAGCATGTCGATTGCGACAACATAACACGGGAGGGTAAGGCGAAACAATAGTAATCCGAGTCTGGGAATGTTTTTGGCGAGAACGATCAGATGATTTCAACGACTATTAAGCTGCTGTGTCACGGACGACCCCAGGGCATTTCTAAATCGTCATCCTAATTTACGGAGGTCTCCGAAGGTCTCTGAAAGTGTCCTCGGGGGTCTTCAAAGGCCTCTGGCCAGCGGCCCGTGTAGGCCACCAAGAGGATGCCTGCGAGTCTCGCCCCGACCCGGGAGTGCAGGACTAATCCACATCGGATCGGAGAGAAGTCTGCTCAGATCGGAACGTGCGCCGACTCGGCTGCTTGCATCGTCACCGGGTCGAGGTCGGACCGAGTCGGATGCGCGATAATGTGCGACACAGTAAAAGGAGTAGGCCGCATCGGACCGGTTGAATGTATGTTGTTCCCATCGTACTTAAGGGCCACATCCCAGAAACAAACATCGAGCACCCAGAAGTGTGTCGAAACAGTGTCGATACAGAGTTGCCTCCCAGGGCCCGACCCTGAAAAAACCCGAAGGTTCGGTACTTCCTTGGTGCTCGAAATTACATTTGATGATCGAGGCTCAAGCAAGTTGGAACATCGTTAGGCCGAATCTCGAAATCGAATCGGCCATCGGATCGACTTTATGGACGCCCGAAATGGGTACGGAAAAATTGGGTACAATGCCCAACAACAACATTTGTCCCAAACCATCAGCGGCCGCTGTTGGGCAGGCGGCCTTCTGTCTCAAGTAGACACAGGCCGCGGCAGCGCGGACAGCGAGCCCTTTTCAAAATGAACGAGATCTGCTGTTGGGCATTATACCCGTTCTTTCCCTACCCATCTCGTTCGTGCCGAGACTTGGCCAAGATCGACATCGAGCCGGATCCACCGAGAATCGAACCGGGCCTTTCCCCGTGGTGGCTCCAGGGTTAAGTCGGGCGTGTCCCCCTACAGGGGAATTTTCGACGACTAATGAAACATACCCCCAAAATAATCCAAGAATTATCCAACAATAGTCTGGGGACTATTTTTTGGGTATTGCTGTATAGGTATGGTGCATTTTTGGGCTACTCTTAATTTTTCGTCGAAGTCCCCCTGTAGGGGGACAGGCCCGACTTAGCTCCAGGGCCACGCGTCGGGCCCCGGCAGCAGATCGGGGCGACGCCGGCACCGCCGCAGAGCCATCGGCGAGGCGCTCTGTGCCGGAGAGCACCTCCGAGAGCAGACGACGTCGTCCGAGGACGTACGCCCTGCGAAGTGCTTTAGAAATCACGGGTTAAGAAATTCATAGCCTCAGAACTTGAATAAAAAACCCAACATTTCTATACAAATCTTAGGATTTACATTGCAACATTAAGAACAATCGAGACTCTGGCCGAAACCTTGGGTTTTCTTAAGCATCGCCTAGAGTGTATGAGATGCGGCGTGTTCTCCTCGGGCCCAGGGTCGGCGTCAGGTCGGGCGGCGTCCTTCTGCAGAAGGATTTGCTGGAGGAGAAATTATGCTGAGAAAATCGTCCCTGTACTATGTTTTGGCCATGATTGGATATTCCTCCTGTAGGGGAACATGTTCGACTTCGGATTACCCTTATGATGTTCCAACCTGCTTTAGCCTTGATCACCTAAGAATACCGAAGAGCACCGAATCCTTGGGTTCGTTAGGGTCGGGCCTTGGGAGACACTGCCTCGACACTGTTTCGACACTCTCCTGGGTGCTCCAAATGATTTCTGGGATGTGGCCCTTAAGTACGATGGGAGCAACATAAATTCAACCGGTCCGATGCGGCCCATTCCTTTTACTGTGTCGCACATTATCGCGCACCCGACTCGGTCCGACCTCGACCCGGTGACGATGCAAGCAGCCGAGTCGGCGCACGTTCCGATCTGAGCAGACTTCTCCCCGATCCGATGTGGATTAGTCCTGCACTCCCGGGTCGGGGCGAGACTCGCAGGCATCCTCTTGGTGGCCTACACGGGCGCTGGCCAGAGGCCTTTGAAGACCCCCGAGGACACTTTCAGTAGGGGGCAAACAAACCTACCTCGCTTTTGACCACCCTCGCTTCCAAGAGATACCAAGCGATGCCAAACTACGGCCTGTACTGGTCAGGCCGCTTGACGAGGAGGCGCGTGGTATGACTTGGTGTTGCCTGGAAGCGAAAGCGGGGTAGGTAACGCACGCTCTGATTCAGAGACCTTCGGAGACCTCCGTAAATTAGGATGACGATTTAGAAATGCCCCTGGGGTCGGGGCGAGACTCGCAGGCATCCTCTTGGTGGCCCACACGGGCCGCTGGCCAGGCAGGGCGTGCAACCCCGGCTGCCGATTGCCGACGTGCCGCTACGCTCCGCGGACCTCTCCCGTGGCGCGCGCTCGGACACCAGGACTCCGTGGCGCCCCCTTGCCGTGGAGGCGCGGGGCTGGCAGCGGCATCGGGACGGCTGCCTCCTCTGAGGTGTGGGGACGGCTGTTCACCAGACCCCCCGCAGGTCTGCTCTTGCATGGACGAGGCAGGAGGAGGAGGAGGAGGAGGAGGAGGAGGAGGAGGAGGAGGGAGGAGAAGGAGGAGGGGCGGGGAAGGAGGAGGAGAAGGAGGATGAGGAGGAGGGTCCATGCGGAGAAGCCTGCCTGAGCCTATAGCTGGTCGAAAAGCCATCTGCAGTGAGGCACAGGGGGAGCTGCAAACCGGGGGAAACATTGATTTGACATCGACGATGCATCGCGGATAGATCGGCGACGGGCGCCCGATAACCGCTGGAGGTGTTTGAGGATCCTCCGAGAATGGGCAAGTGAGCACGGCTTCCTGGAGCTCATTGAACGATTGCGACACCCTGCAATATCCGGCAAGCAATGATTCAGCCGCCGCCGCCGCCGCGGAGGAAGAAGAGCAGGGGAGGAGGAAAAGGAGGAGAAGGAGGAGAGGGACAGTGCGAACAGGGGGACGTGCGGAGTTGATGTACTGCCAGCCAGAACCTTTTGAGGGGGGTACAGCACTAGGAGACCTGCTTTGCTTAGCATACCTCCAATTTCTCGGGCGGGGTGGGCTGTCGGGCCCCTCCTGGCGAGTGGTGTGCGATTCGGGGTCGATGCACTCCCCCCTGAGCCTATCCCCCACGGTGATTCCGGTCGTCTGATTTGGATCAGGACTCGGGTCTCTGGCGGCCGTTCGGGAAGACTCCGGCACCCCCGGAACGCTGTCGACGAGGCCCACCTGATGGATGCCTCCCCCTGGTCTCGAAAGCTTCCGGCCAACTGTCGGAAACTTCCCCCATGAGCCGAATTATCTCCCCCAAACGTTGCCCGCTGCCCCTGACGTGAGGCTGGAGGCCCCCAGACGATGGCCGCTCGGGACGACTCTGGTGCCCCCAAAAAGCCCTCGCCGAGGCGCAGCTGACGGAAACCATGCCGAACCTCGAAAAATTCCCCAGTCTTGCTTTTTTGACTGAGACCGGCGAAGGCCGCCTGGGGCCGAAGGTTGTCAAATCCCTCCCGTAGTAGGCGCTCCACGACGCGTGGGGTCCCAGGCATCTGGAGGCACAGAACACTGCATAAACATGATTTCTCAAATAGGTGGCCACATGTGAACCCTACCCTCACCCCCTACGATTTCTGGGGGGGGGTGGGGGTTCACTCCACTCGGGACCTCCCGAACGAAATGAACCCCCAGCCCCTGGTAGAAATCGTGGAGGGGCGGGGGCAGGGTTCACATGTGGCCACCCATCAAAGGTCCGCGCCGCTTGCTCGGATCGGCGCTGGACCCCTTCCCTGGCGCACGGAGCGCGCCAGAGCCGGCGACGGAAGGTCCAGGCGGCGACTACCCACATGGGTTAACGTTGCCCCTCACGTTGCCCCTGATGAGGCCGGGCGCCGGGGATGCCCTGAGCCCCCGAGCCGCTCCCAACCCCCCGTGCTCCTCGTCGTCTGGCTTCCCCATTCAAAGATCGGGTCTCTGGCGGCCGCTCCGGGCGATTCTGGCCACCCCCCCGAGCGCCGTCGACGAGGCGCACCTGCTGGAAGCCACCCGCCGCCTCGCAGACGTTCGAGCAGCGACCGTCCGAGGACCTCCCCCCCGTCCTTCGGGCCGGGCGAAAGGGGGGGACAGCAAAAGGGGGGTTTGAGAATCAGCTCACGTGGCTGATTTTCCCGGCGCCTCCCGGCGCCGGAGGCGGCTATGTATCAAGGAATGGGCACCTCGGTGAGGCCGAAACCAGCTGCATGCAGCAGATTTCGTAACCCCCCCTTTCCCAATCCCCCCCTTTCGCCCTGCCCGAGTCCTGCGTTTCCCCGAGGAGACCTTCCCCCCTGAGCCGATCCCCCCACCACGCTGCGCAGAGGCCTCCTGGATGGCCGAGCAGATGGGGCCGGAGGCCCGCGCCGCATATCGCCGATTCATCGCCGGGGCACCGCCGATGCACTCACTGGCGATGCATCGGCCAGGCACCGGCGACGTCGGCGGTGCATCCACGACGTCGGCGGCGCGGAGAAAATTGGGCCCCACATCGAGCCGCATCGCCGATGCATCGGCGATGCGTCGCGATCCTCCGACCCCATCTACTCCGAGCCCATCTAGGAGGCCTGGATTGCCCCTGATGTGAGGTCGGGCGCCCCCCTCACGCCTTACCTTAAGGGACGCTGGCGAAAGGGGCTTCTGAGACGCGGCGCTGCATTGAAGACATCGGAAAGCAAGTGAAAATGTTACGCGAAGACCTCGCGTAAAAGCCCGCTGGACTTGAGACGTCTCACAAGTCCTTTTGTCAGGGGTCCCTTTGGAACCACATGACCCCCCACCTCGGGATCAACCACTTTTCGGGCCCTGGAGGCCTCTTTCTGGGCCCCAAAGGGCCCCTTCCCTCCAAAAGATCCACCTTCCATGCCTTCCGACCGCCGCGGAAGGTGCGGAGGAATTCATCGAAACTCATGGAAACCTGGTGAAATTCAGAGAAACCAGCATGGATCATATCGGAAAAGAAGGCGGAAGGTTTGGGCGGAAGGTCTGAAAGGATGATGGGTGGGGCTTCTGGGGGGCCCGAATGAAGGGCCCATCTTCTGCAGGCCTCGATGCCATCCCAGTGATCTGGGGAAGCCAAAAGGTACCGATACCGCAACTGCCCGGACCTCTTCCGGCGTGCGTTCTTACCAGAATTTCGAGGCGAACCCAGCGGTGGCGAAGAGGGAGGCCCAGGAGGCCCAAAAAGAGAAACACGAGGGGAGGGAGTAGAGGTATGGATGCCTTGTTCTCCTCTGCTTGTCGCCCCCCTTCCCCATTTGTCGCGGCGAATCCAGCGGTGGCGACGAGGGAGGCCCAGGAGGCCCAAAAAGAGGAACACGAGGGGAGAGGCTAGAGGTATGGATGCCTTTTTGAAGGGGCCCAAGGACACACACACACACACAAATGCACACAAATACAAGGATTCCCCACATTTTCCCATATTCTCTGGGCTTTCGCCTTCCCCCCCCTTCCCATAGTTTCCCCTATTCACCGTGTCTGTGTTTTTTCCCCTCCTGCATTTTCCTCCTCTGCTTGTCGCACCCCCCGTTTACATCGCGGCCCAGCCACGTCCGACGTAGTGTTTGACAACTACGTCCGACGTAGTGTTTTTCATCAACGTGGCTCCCCCGATGGCTTGACCTCTTCTAGGGAAACATCTCCTCACCCTGAGCCGACTCTTGACGGCCCTGGGGGAAGCGGGCCCCCCGTAGAGGTATGGATGCCGTTTCCTCCTCTGCTTGTCGCACCCCCCATTTATATCGCATATGTTCCCATATTCTATCGGTTTTTGTCTTCCCCTCCTGACCAAAAAAAGGAACACGAGGGGAGGGCAGAGGTATGGATGCCTTCTCCTCCTCTGACTGTCGCACGCCCCGTTTACATCGCGGCCCAAGCCTCGGGCTCCGGCACCACCTCCGGGTCCTTCTCGGGCGCCCCCTTGGGCGAGCCCACCGCGCCGGGCGGCGACGGGGCTGGCCTGGCCGCCGGCGGCGGGACATGCCCTCCCTGCCTCCCCAGACCCCCGTCATGAAAAAATCACGACGGCAGGTTTTTGGCTATTTTCGGCCTCCGGGGGCCCTTACCGGCCCTCAGGACCGTCAAAAAACGACTCAGGATGAAAAACCGGTCCCGGGGAATCGGTCCGGACCTCTGGGGGTCGCGCCATTAAAAAGTCATGACGTCGGGGGTCTGGGTCCTGTGGGTGCAGGGGGGCACGCATGGGTTCCTTCATGGATCTCATCGGATTGCAGGAACCCAGACATGCGACGTCCTGATTTTTTCAGGACGGCGTCTCTGGAATTCCCGACCCTTTCCCAGGGACCGGTTTTTCGTCCTGAGTCGTTTTTTGACGCTCCCGGGGGCCGGCGAGGGCCCCCCGAGGCCGAAAATAGCCAAAAACCTCCCGTCCTGATTTTTTTACGACGCGAGCATGTCTGGGCAGATTGCAGGAAGAGGAGGAGGAGGAGGAGGGGGGAGGAGGCGTCCTCGGATGCGCTCCGAGCTCTGCCGCGAGTGCCGTCGGCCGTCCCTCCTCCGTGCCATCGTCGCGTCGCGCCCCGCGGTGCCGCGTGCCCGCAGGTGGGCGCGCAAACGACCCGGCGGCAGCTGCTCCTTCACAGGGCATCCCCTCCCTGCATCCTAAGGACCCAGACCCCCTCGAGTCATGAAAAAATCACGACGGCAAGTTTTTCGCTATTGTCGGCCTCCGGGGGCCCTTACCGGCCCTCAGGACCGTCAAAAAACGACGCAGGATGAAAAACCGGTCCCGGGGAATCGGTCCGGACCTCTGGGGGTCGCGTCATGAAAAAATCATGACGTCGGGGGTCTGGGGACGCAGGGGGACACGCACAGGATTCTTCGTGGATGCCATAAGATGGCCTCAGGAAGCCGGTGGAAATCCACAGGAGCCCATCGGAAATCCATAAGATTCCCGAGGACATGCATCGGATTCCTCGGGAAATCTACAGGCCGACGCGGGCATGAACTTTCGACTCCCTCGGCCCAGCTGTCGGGGCTGCCACCGGAGGTAGTTGGAGTCTCCGTCATCGGAATCGTCCTCGTCGTCTTCCTCGGCGGAGTCGGCGGCGGCGAAGTCGGGGTCGGAGTGTCGGAGTCGTCCTGTTCGTTGTCGTCGTCGTCGTCGTCGGAATCGGAGTGGGAGTGGGAGAATGGGGGTTGTCGTCGTTGTCGTCGTCGTCGTCGTCGATGCCGTCAGCGCAACCGAAACAAGCAATGACGTGAACAGAAACAACTCGGAGGTCCGCGCGGATTCCGCGGATCGGTGCTGGGGTTGGCGCTGCCCTTGGCGCGCTCCGCGCGCCAAGAGGGGGGGAGGTCCAGAGCGCCGATCCGAGACGCCCGCGCGGGCCTCCAAGCCGATATGTGTTTGTGCCGTCGCCTGTGCCCCCGAGCATTAGCCTGCGATTCCTTCGGCAGGGCGGTTGCGGCTGCCACTTCGCTCCTGAGACATCTAAGGCACGGTGAGCGCCAACCATTTTACTCCGCACGAGCGCTCAAGCGGGCCGAGAAACGGGTGAGCGACGCACAGACAGTGCCCTCACGCAGGAGGGCGTGCCGACCATACGCGAAGGCATACGCGGGCCGCCAGCGCGCCACGCCACACAAGAGGCGAGGGCGCTCACGCGCGACCTCACGCGGGAAGCTTAAACGCAACGGTCGGCACAATCCACCTCCTTTCTCTCCGCTGTAAAAAGACAAAACGCCATAAACGTAAACGTATTGGCGCTCCGCGCGGAATTCTTGGATCTGCGCTGGAACACCCTCCCTGGCGCGTGGAACGTGCCAGGGGCGGCGCTGGCGGCGCCGCCAGGGGGGCCCAGCGCAGATCCAAGAAATCCGCCCGGAGCGCCAAAACGTTTATGTTGTATGGCGTTTTTTTCTGCTTCGATCCGCCGGCCTGGTGGAGTGAGCATAACCAGAGGGTCTCTTAGAATTATTGAAATAATGAAAGTGCTCACAGGTACAATCCTCTCGAGGGTCTGGGTGGATTTTGGGATCGGTGCCAAGCCACCCTCCCCTGGCGCCAGAGGCGCCAGGGGGCCGGCGAGGATCAAAATCGTGCGGACCTCGAAAGACTTGTATGGTGTGCCGTTTTCGTTTCTTCTTCTTCGATGTAGTCAGCACCAGGCGTGGAGATGTGTGTGTGCTTTCTCCCAAGATGATCCAAGATGCTCCGCGATGGTCCTCGCCGAGAAAAATGGCCTCGTCCGAGCGATGCCAAGATAGCAAAGCGCAGCATCACTCCCACTTGTTTTCGCTGTCCGCCCTCACCCTCGGCACGGACGCCGTGTCGAACAGGGTTCGCTGCCGGTGCCGGTGCAGCAGCGAGTGTGGTCCGTTTGGAAAACACAGAATCGCCGGCACAACTTCTGCTGGTGCCGCCTTTGGACAACACTTGCTGCTGAGCCTCGTGCCCACGTTCCGTATACCCATTTCGGGCGGCCCAGCTGTTCGCCCCTCCCTTCCCCTGGAGCCCCAGGGTTGGGGTGTTCATAGCCATGGGCTCCTCGGTTGGTCTGGTGAGGCCAGCTGGGACCACTCGGGGGGCCTGCTGAGGCCAGCCGGCACAACGGGGGGGCGCTGTCCGTGCGCAACCCGAAACCTGAAGACTCACCACTTCGCGCGATGCTGTGTGCCTCTGTTGGCTGCCACAGCGAGGCACGCAGCGCAGCGCTCGATCTCGGTCGGCGCGCGCGGGAGCTGCAATGGCAGCGGCCTGGCCTGTTGTCGACCGCCCTCGAGCCCATCGCATTGCAGACACCTGTCGGCGCGGCAGGGTGGGAAGGACTGACGAAGGGTGGAAGGGAGATGGAGGTTCGGGGTGGACGAAAGGCTGGGAGACAACTTCTTGCAGGCTATCGTAAAAACGAGTGAGGTCTATCAAGCCTGGGGGGTCCTGAAACAAGAACCGTTTGGACCGATGTAAGCCAGACTGAACGAGATATGCGAGAAAACGGGGCGAGGCCGGATTACTCAGGCTGGTTGTCGACTACGGAAAATACCAACGCCGATGCTGAATTGAACCTCCCAGGAAATGCACACTGACGCGTGGGAGAGAGATGGAGGTTATGGGTGCACGAACGGGGTTGGAGGGCGCGAAGTGTGCACTTACACTGATCATGGTCAGGACCATCCTCCGCCTTCGAGGCGGAAAGATGGGCCCCTGACAACCTCGCGTCGTGAAAACATCGCGGCGGCCGACTCTTATGGCCGTTCGAGAGCTCCAGGGTCGTCAGGGAACGAGTCGAGGTGAAGAGCCGGTCCCCGGGAAGGGGTCCAGACCTCTGGGGGGGCTAAACTGTGGAAGAGACACCACCCCTGGGGAATCAAAAAGCACCGAACCGCTACGCCCCGGGGCCTATCCTGGGTTCCCAGGATGTCGAGGCAAATCCAGGGGGGGGCGAAGAAGGCCTCCCAGGAGGCCGGAAAAGCGGGAAGACGGGCGAAGGGTAGGGGGATGGTTACCTTTCCCTCCTCGATCTGAGCCCCCATCTGGCGGGTCACCTCCAGCGACAAGATCCACGATGCCTCCCCGAGATGCCTCGAGCGGAGCGGAGGAAGGAGGAGGAGGAGAGGAGGAGGAGGAGGAGGAGGAGGAGCGCATGGGGACCACACCACCAGGAGGAGGCCCCCCTCCCCTGGCCCCATCTTGCGAGTGGTGGCGGTGGTGCCGTCTCCTCTCGACAGGGAGCTAGGAGGCAACTGCTGGGAGGTCTCCCTGGGGTCGACTGCGATCTACAGTGGAGGCCACTCCACAAGAAGCTTCCACAAGAAACCCAACCCTGAGACCCCAGAACGTCCATCGATTTTTGGTGGGAACGTCACGCTTTCCATAGCAAAACCATCGAAATCCAAGAAATCCAGGGCACCCTGGAGGCAAGCAGGGTGTTTCTTGACATGGGCCTCCACTGTATTGAATGCGCAGGCCGATCTATTGAGCGCTCAGACCGATAAAGCGCTGCTGGGCCGATGACGAAGCTCAACGAAGCGGGTCGGCTGGATCCAACATACTGTCGGCAACATCACCGGTGAAAGAAAGAGGCCCTCTGAGGGAAAAGGGTCATGTCAGTTGGGTGTTCACGGTGGCCGAGATGGAGATGAAGACAAGGGGCCCAAAGGGGCCCTCTAGGCAACTTTTCCGATGGTCCTGGGGACAGGTCCACAAGTTTCAGACTATGTTTCCTTCAAGCAAGTTATCCTGCATCCCCCTTCAACGTGGAGGTTGTTCACTCCGTTCCACTCTGTGTCTCCTGACGCCTCGTCGCGCATTGCTGTGGATGCCATGACAATGTACACTCTAACAATATGGTCATTGACTTAGAAATGTGTTCGAAATGTTGTAAACTGATTAACCATGTTCATACCATGCTTTAGACATGCTTTACCTGTTTAAGACGTGTTTGAAATATGTGGTAGACATCTGGATTTTTTTTGGCAGCACGCATCGTTGATCGACTTCCACAAGCGCATTGCTTGACCGCCGTCCTTGATCGCTGTGCTGTGGGAATGCCATGTGCGCCTGCGCGCTCGCTGTCACCGCGCACGCGCCGTGCTGCTTCTGGCTCGAGCCTTGCGGCGACTGTGCGTGTTGGCTTGGATTACGCTTAAGTCGGGCCTGTCCCTCTACAGGAGGAATATTAAAAAAATCTGCGCGGCCCCCTTTGCGGGGCCATCAGGCTGCGAGGATTAAGGTTGCTGCTCCCTGCGCCAGTTCCAGTTTCCAGTGCCCATTGTTACAATACTGCTTTCTGCTTCCTACTGTAAATTGTTACTGTCCGCGCGAGGGGGGGGAGTCGAAAGGGGCCCTGGTTAGCGTCCCCTGAGAGGGTTCTCAGAAATTATCGGGGGCGTGGGACACGTAAACATATATGAGCTTCGTGCCCCCCAAGCCATAATCCCTCGCAAATTACGCTACGCACGCGCCCCGGAGGCCACGAACCCTTGCAAATTACACCACATTCGCGTCTCCGAGGCCACGATCCCTCATAATCTACACCACACTTGCATCTCCGAGGCCACGATTCCTCTCACATTGCTCCACATTCGCGCCCTCGAAACCACGATCCCACGTAATTTACGCCACACTCGCGCCCCCGAAGCCACGATCCCATGTAATTTACATAATGTTCGCCGCCCGAGGCCACGATCCTTTGCAAATTACAACAAATTCGCGCTCCTGACGCCACGATCCCATGTAAATTACACAGCGGGCGCGCCCCCGAGGCCACGAATCCGCCTTGCGGAGGCTGCCGAAAGGGCGCTCCCCCTCTCCCAAACAGAAAAACAACAATTTTCTGTATTGGGATATGCGCTCCGCTGGTATGATTTTGCCCCCCCGTTTCTGGAAAATTCGGCGGTGGGTTCCACATTCACCCCCCCAGGCCACGATCCCTCGTAAGTTACGCCACAGTTGCGTCCCCGAGGCCACGATCCCACGTGAATTACACCACATTCGCGCCCCCGAGGCAACGATCCCGCGAAAATTACGCCGCTGTCGCGCCCCCCAGGCCACGATCCCTTGCAAATTGCGCCACGTTCGCGTCCCCGAGGCCACGATCCCCCGCAAATTACACAAAATTCGTGCGCACCCCCCACGCTACGAATCCACCTCGCGGAAGCTGCCCAAAGGCGCACTCCTTCTCCAGAGCAAAAAAAAAATAACCTTCCCAGAGATTGCCTGAAGCAATCCCCAGCCGTTCCCAGAGCGCTTCCAATGAACAACTGGAGGAACCTGCCGAAAAGGCAACACAGCGTTCAACAACAACTTCAACATCTCAATCTGTTTTGCTCATCGCCAGCCGCCCTAGCATGACGTTCCCGAATGTCATCAAGACGGCGCCCGAACATCCCAATAGCTCTGATGTATCCCATTCTGATAGAGAGGGGGCCGGCGGCAGGGGGCGAAGCCCTTACGGTTAGTACAACAAACATGGGGCGATTCGGTTTTAATATATGCTTCAATCGTGTTAGATTTGTTTTTCCATTCTCTTCCAACATCCGCCTGTGGGGGGACATGCCCGACCTAAGATTCCGCGGATCGGACCTCTGTCTGTAAAGAAAGCAATTGCCAACCAGCACTTCAACTGTACGTTTTAGGCGGCATCCATCGCAAAACGCAGCGCTCCCTGAAATCAACACGCGATTGCACCCCGAGCCGTTCTCGACGGCGCCGGGGCCCGGGCGAGGGCCCCACGGGTGCCGAAAGCTGCCGCCAGGAGCCTTTCACCACAGGACTGCTGACTCGAGGTGAGGACGTCTGGGTCGGCCGACCAGCGTGCAACACAGCTGGAAGACGAGGAAGCGGAGGGCGGGGTCAGGGGCGGGACGGTGGGGGGGCTTGCGAGGGGCAGCGCCCACCCACTCCACGCGATGCCGCCAGCTGGCATCTTCGCGCCGTCGATCGCATCACCCCAAAAGGAGGAGGCCAGGATCGGGACAGTCAGATCGGGAACCATCGGGGATCTCTGAGATCTGGCGGATCTGACAAATGTATCGGGCGATGCGGCCTCCTCAGAGCGATCCGGAACGCTCTGAGAGGTCTCCGAAACGATCTGGATGGTGGGCTTGTTTCCACCGCGACCACCATACGTAGACGGGGGAGAGGATCCTCCTCCTCCTCCTCCTCCTCCTCCTCCTCTTCGTCCTCCTCCTCACCCTCCACCTCCTTCCCCCCTCCAACTTATGTGGTGGTGATGGTGGTGGAATGCAGGCCCACGAGCTCTGGAGCGACTTCTCCCGACCTTGGGCCTGCCAGCCCCCGCCCCCCCGGGAGCAGGGCGATCTGGGGCAGCAGCAGCTCGAAATCGGCCCCGGAGGCCCCTCCCCGGGTCCGGACGCGCCAGTGGTCCGAGGCCCAGGCCGTGGCGACAGAGGGCCCCCCTCCGTGGGCCGCCTGCCGCTGTCTCGACCCGCCCTCCTCTGAGCCTGAGCCTGCCAGGCTCCCTCCCCCTCTTTGCCGGCGGCGCCAAAGGAGGAGGGGGAGGGGGGTCGGGAGCGGCCAAGAGGGGGGTGTCCAAGCGGGGGGGGTGCAAATCATGACCGGCGGCATGTGCGCGGCCCAGCGGGGGGGCCAGGGACGTAATGAAAGAAGAAGAGGCGCCATGAAATCTGGGGAAATATCATGGCCCACGCCATGATATCCCCCCCCCCTCTTTTTCGCCCCCGAGGGGGGGGAAGGCGTCTGAGAAGAGGGCTGCCTCTTAGCAGGCGACGGCCCTGCACCTATCCGCCTATCCGCCACCGGGCCTCTGGGCACGGAAGGGGCATGTCTTCGGGCCACTCGCCGAATCCAGTAAGCCTCCATTGTGACTCCCGAGGAGTCTTTTTACAGGGCAGTTTTGAATACATAGGATTTCACTAAACATAAAATTTGTAATACATGATTAATACATGAAAAATACTAGATCCCTGCATTTTTGATACGTGATCCGCACGCGGAGCATGTATCAAAAACGACACTGTAAGGAGCCCGGAACCCAAAGTCCACGTGGCTCCCCGCGTGCCCCCCGTGGCTTCCCGCGTGCCGCCCGGGCTCCAGGAGGTGGTGCCACGCGACTCTTCCAGGGCCCAGAGGGCGCCAAGACGGTCCCAGAGGGCCCCGAGTCGCCGAAGGATTGCTCCAAGACGCTCGAGATGGCCCCGCCGAAGGCCTCCGAGAGGCCTCCCAAAAGGACCCCAAAAAGCCAAACTCAATTATTCTCCGGAAACGCTTGTGGGCGCTCTCGTCTCGGCGTCCCGACGCTCTCAGACGGCCCCATGGAGGCCCCAAATACCGCCCCGAGATGGCCCAAAAGGCTTCCAAGAGGGCCACAAAACGGGTCAAGATGGCGCCCCCAAGACGGTCCAAGAGGCGCCCCAAACGACCCAAGAGGCCCCGAAACGGTCCCAGACGGGGCCTAAGAGAGGGAACCCGAACCAGAAATCCGAATCCTCCGCCCCAAGAAGCTCCAGGAGGCCCCGAAATGCGCACAGGAGGTCCCAAGAGGCCCCCAAGAGGCAACCGAGAGGCCCCAAGAGGCCCCAAGAGGTCCAAAAGAGACCCAAATGGATTCCAAAACGGCCCCTAAGAGGCGTACAACTGCCTGCAGAGGTCCCAAGAGGCCTCCCACGAGATCCAAGCGAACTTCCATTACGCTGCATACCCACAACCCAGGCACGGTGGCGGGATGGTCCGAAGGTCATTAGATCCGCCGCCCTCTTGTGATTTATCACAGGGGTGCCTGTCGTGCTGGATCCTATCGGTTTTGGTTTTGATTCTTTTCCAAAAAAGAACTCCTCCTGGGGCTCTGGCGCGTCCCGCTGGCCATCCGGAAAGGCTCTCCAGGAGCTCAATTCCCCCGAAATCCTCCAAGACGGCTCAAGATGCCCGCTAAGATGGTCATGTCGGCCCAAGATGGCCTCCAAGATGGTCCAACACGGCCTCTAAGTCCGCCAAAGATGGTCCAAGATGGCCTCCAAGACGGCCCAAGAGGGTGCAAGATACCTCCAAGGTCGCCCAAGAAGCCTCCGAGACGATCCAACACGGCCCAAGAGGCCTCCGAGAGGTCCTCCAGGAGGGCCCGAAGAGGCTAAAAACATTGATTGTCCTTAGGTTTTTTTATATAGAGTTTTTCGTATTTGCTCCTTTTCGGCTTTCCGACGACCCGAGACGGCCCAAGAGGCCCTCAAGATCGCCCCCACAGCCCCCAAGAGGCCTCCAAATTGGCCTCAGGACTGCCCAAGAGGCCCCCAAGACGGCTCCAAGCGGGCACAAAGACGACCCAAGAGGCTTCCAAGATGCCCAAGATGGCCTCTAAGACGGCCCTGGAGCACCGGAAGAGAGCCCTATCAGTCGGCCCGAAGAGGCCCCCCAAACGGCTTCCGACGGCGTCAGACGGGCCAGGAGCCCACCAAGATGGCCGAAGATGGCTCGAAGCTGGCCCAAGACGGCCCAAGAGGCCTCCAAGAGGGCCTGCAGGAAGGCCCAAAAAAGGCCCAAACCACTGATTTTCATCAGTTTTTTGAAGGATTCCGACGGCCCGAGACAGCCTTCCGACGGCCTGATTCTTTTCGGCCTTCCGACGGCCCGAGACGGCCCAAGAGCCCCCAAAGATCGCCCAAAGATCGCCCAAGAGGCCTCCAAGATGGCCCCAGAACGGCCCAAGAGGCCCCCAAGATGGCCCCAAGAGGCCCCCAATACGGCCCAGGAGGCCTGAAGACACCCAAGATGGCCCCCAAGGGGGCCCTTAGAGGGCCCGAAGTCGGCCCAAAGATGCCCCCCCAAACGGCTTCCGACGGCGTCAGACGGGCCAGGAGCCCACCAAGATGGCCGAAGATGGCTCGAAGCTGGCCCAAGACGGCCCAAGAGGCCTCCAAGAGGGCCTGCAGGAAGGCCCGAAAAAAGGCCAACATCATTGGTTTTTGAAGGATAATGGCAGTTGCTTTTTTTCAGCCTTTCGACGGCCCGACACGGCCCAAGTGCCCCCAAAGATCGCCCAAGAGGCCCCCAAGATGGCCCCAAGAGGCCCCCAAGACGGCCCAAGAGGCCTCTAAAACGCCCAAGACTCCTCCTCCTCATCTCCTCCTCCTTACGTTCCTCCTCCTTCTCATCCTCCTCCTCCTCCTGATCTTCCCCGCCATCTTGCCAGAAGTGTTCCCGGAAGGTTTGCCACAACGGTTGGGGAAACTAATGGTCCGACAGCTTGGCAGAACTCTTGCCACAACGCTCGGACACATGAGCGTTTTCAAACCTCTTGCTCCCCCACGCGTTCCCCGAAGGCTCTCCAAACCGACTCGGGGAACAACTGGCCCGCTAGCTTGGCCAGGCTCTAGCCCAGCTGTCAGCCACATAGGCGCTTCCACAAGGGCAGGGGGCGGCGGTGATTCGCCGTAGGCGTCTTCGATAGACAGGGCCCGCGCCTTCTGAGAAGCAGGGGGTGCTTCTAAGATGCCGTTCCCTCTCCCGCTACCCCCTCTGCGCGTGCTTGAGCTTGGGCGCACCGTTCCACGTGTGGCGGTTGTTCCGGTCGGCATTGTTGTTGTCGTCCATCTGGGCCGGGTCGCCGATGCGGCCGCGCGGGCCGCCGGTGCCGTTGCGACTGGGGGCTGCACTCCTGCCTGCTGCGGCGTTGGCCAGCTCCGTTCGCCACGGCGGCCCCCTCCCTCCCGGTTGCCTGCGACCTCGTTCTCCTGACCCATTAGCGTCGTAAATATGTGTGACGGAAGATTTGTGCTATCTTCGGCCTCTGGGGACCCTCGCTGGGGTCAAAAACTATTCCGGATGAGCAGAAAAAACCTAAAATTATGGGTCGAGACCTCCGGGTGTCTACGTTGTGAGACAATCGAGACGTCGAGGGTCTGGGGACAAAAGGTTTCGTGTTAGTTCGGGTATGTCCTCCTAGATGCGGATTTTGAAAAAAAAAAAAAAAAAAAAAAAAAAAAAAAAAAAAAAAAAAAAAAAAAAAAAAAAAAAAAACATGGAAAATTACTCACTCCGTGGAGCTCCCCATATGCAAATCTGCGGTAATTGCAGACACATCCTCCACATCTGCTGTAATCGCAGACGATGTTGGGCACCGAAACAAGCAAACCGCCTGAGACATCCCCACAAACTGGCCGCGAACGGGCCCGTGATATACCCCCTGGCGGCTCCCTTTAGGAATCCTGAAACCAGCGCCCCGACTGTGACATACTCCAAATCTGCAGTAAACGCAAACGATGTTGGGCACCGAAACAGGCAAACCGCCTGAGACATCCCCACAAACTGGCCGCGAACGGGCCCGTGATATACCCCCTGGCGGCTCCCTTTAGGAGTCCTGAAACCAGCGCCCCGACTGTGACATCCTCCAGATCTGGTGCAATCGCAAGAAGGAAGTTGGGCACCGAAACAGGCAAACCGCCTGAGACATCCCCACAAACTGGCCGCGAACGGGCCCGTGGTATACCCCCTGGCGGCTCCCCTTAGGAGTGCTGAAACCAGCGCCCCGCCTGAGACATCCTTTAAATCTGCTGTAGACGCAAACGATGTTGGGCACCGAACCAGGCAAACCGCCGGAGACATCCCCACAAACCGGCCGCGAACGGGCCCGTGATATACCCCCTGGCGGCTCCCTTTAGGAGTTCTGAAACCATCGCCCCGCCTGAGACATCCTCAAAATCTGCCGTGTGCTGGATAAATCAAACTATGAGAAGGTCTGAGCATGTGTAGGTCTGAATATGAGGAAGTCTGTGTATGGGTACGTCTGGCTATGAGTAAGTCTGAGTATGAGTAAGTCTGTGTATGAATAAATCTGTGTATGTGTACGTCTGGGTAGGAGTACGTCTGAAACCAGCGCCCCACCTGAGACATCCTCCAAATCTGCTGTAATCGCAAATGTTGTTGGGCACCGAAACAGGCACACCGCCTGAGACATCCCCACAAACTGGCCGCGAACGGGCCCGTGATATACCCCCTGGCGGCTCCCCTTAGGAGTGCTGAACCCAGCGCCCCGCCTTTGACATCCTCCAAACATTGGTGTAATCGCAAAGGATGTTGGGCACCGAAACAGGCAAACCGCCTGAGACATCCCCACAAACTGGCCGCGAACGGGCCCGGGATATACCCCCTGGCGGCTGCCCTTAGGAGTGCTGAAACCAGCGCCCCGCCTGAGACATCCTTGAAATCTGCTGTAGACGCAGACGATGTTGGGCACCGAACCAGGCAAACCGCCAGAGACATCCCCGCAACCTGGCCGCGACCGGGCCCGTGATATACCCCCTGGCGGCTGCCCTTAGGGGTGCTGAAGCCAGCGCCCCGCCTGAGACATCCTCAAAATCTGCCGTGTGTTGAGTAACTCAGACTATGAGAAGGTCTGAGTATGTCGAGGTCTGAGTATGAGTAAGTCTGTGTATGAGTGCGTCTGGGTATGAGTAAGTCTGAGTATGAGTAAGTCTGTGTATGAGTAAGTCTATGTATGTGTCCGTCTGGGTTTGAGTAAGTCTGGGTGTGAGTAGGTCTGAGCATGAGTAAGTCTGAGTATGAGTTAAGTCTGTGTATGAGTAAGTCTGTGTATGAGTAAATCTGGGTATGAGTAAGCCTGTGAGTGAGTACGTCTGGATATGAGAAAGTCTGAGTATGAGTATGTCTGTGCATGAGTAAGTCTGTGTTCTGGGTGTGTTATTGTTCTCTGGAGTCGGCGGCGTCCAATAAATAACAAGAACCCCATCTAAGGATATGGGGAAATAACCAAACACTAATCAAGCGCAAGTCAAAACAAAAAAAACTCGACAACATCGTCCCCTGATTATCTTCCGCTATGTCTGAACGTCCCTCCAGTTGAGGGACATGCCCGCCTTGAGCGTCGTGTCGTGACGCCTTGCTCGCTGGTTTCTGACATGACACGGATCGCTGCAGCAAAACTGGCTGCGGCCATCGGACGACGCAGATCGACAACATTATCCTGGCGACGGACCCACCACATGCAGTTGTTGGTACCGCAATTGTAACGATCTTCTTCAGCGAAGCTCCCTGTGGGGCCACCAAGCACTGCACTGGGTGGGGGGGGGAACGCATGCGGGCGGTAGCACTGGGGCCGTCGGTTGAATTCCCTATGGGGCCACGAAGCGCTGTACTCGGTGGGAGGAAATGTCAAATTGAGTGTGTGTGGGTCGCATGCGGACGCTCCCACTGGGGGCGTCGGTGGAGCTCCCTATGGGGCCACGAAGCGCTGTACTCGGTGGGTGGAATTGTCAAATTGGGTGTGCGGGGCGCATGCGGACGCTCCCACTGGGGGCGTCGGTGGAGCTTCCTATGGGGCCACGAAACGCTGTACTGGGTGGGTAACTGCCAATGTGTGTGTATGTGTGCTTGTGTGTGTGTGTGTGTTTGTGTGTGTATGTGTGTTTGTGTGTGTGCGTGCGTGCGTGCGTGCGTGCGTGCCTGCGTGCGTGCGTGTGTGTGACGTGTGTGTGTGTGTGTGTGTGTGTGTGTGTGTGTGTGTGTGTGTGTGTGTGTGTGTGTGTGTGTGTGTGTGTGTGTGTGTGTGTGTGTGTGTGTGTGTGTGTGTGTGTGTGTGTGTGTGTGTGTGTGTGTGTGTGTGTGTGTGTGTGTGTGTGTGTGTGTGTGTGTGTGTGTGCGTGTCTGTGTGTGCGCGTGTCTGTGTGTGCGTGTGTGACGCATGTGGGCGGTCCCACTGGGGGCTTCGGTGGAGCTCCCTATTGGGGCCACGAAATGCTGAGCTGGAGATGTCAAATTGCGCTTGCGGGACGCATGCGGGCCCTATGGGGCCACGAAACGCTGTACTGGGTGAGTGAAAATGCCAAATTGGGTATGCGGGACGCATGTTGACGGTCCCACTGGCCACGAGACGCCGTACTGGGTGTGGCGGACATATGTTGTACCCACCTCCTGGGGCCTTACGTGGAGTTCCCAATGGGGCCACGAATCGCCGTACTGGGTATGGCGGACGCATGTTGTACCCCCCCCCCTGGGGACTTAGGAGTAGCTCCTTATGGGGCCACTAAACGCCGTACTGTACGCATGGAGGAGGGATGAGGGGGAGGAGGGAGGAGGGAGGAGGAGGGAGGAGGAAGAAGAGGAGGAGTGAGTGAGTGAGTGAGTGAGTGAGTGAGTGAGTGCGTGAGTGAGTGAATGATTGAGTGGGTAGGACGCGGGGCGCCGTCTCTTCAAAACGAAGACCCAACACCACAGGAGGGTTGGGCACAAACAGGCCGAGTCCGTGCCACCGGCCGGCGGCGTTCCACCTTGTGAGCGCCCGCGCCTGGATCGCCGCCGCGCCGTCGCGGTTCGACCCCTGCCGAAGCTCCTGCTATTGATCCAGACGCCTCCCAGATGAGGTCCGAGCAGACGGGGTCGGCCGATCGCGCCGCATCGTCGATGCATCGCCGAAGCATCGGCGGTGCAGCGGCGACGTCGGCGGTGCATCGGCGACGTCGGCGTGGAGAAAAATCGGGTTCCACGTCGAGCTGCATCGCCGATGCATCGACGATGCGGCGCGATCCGCCGACCCCATCTGCTCGAACCCCATGGTGGAGGCCTAGATGATCCGCGTCCTTGTCCTGCTGGTCGTGATCCTTGTTCCCCGATGCCTGTTACCTGCCCCTCACGCCACCTCGGCCTCATCGTCCTACTCGGTACCTCGACAGCGCGCAGCGGCGTGCTGCGCGCTGCGATCCCACCTGCGGAACGACTGGGCGCAATCGAGGACACAAGGTCGGGTGCGGCACAAACTGTGCTTGCACATGCGCGGGTGGCTTGAGTTGAAATGCGAAGATTATCACGGGTGTGCCTCGGGGGATGGGGCGCCGAAGAAGACTGGAGGAGCAACGCAACGGCAGACGCCCTCTCGGCGGGGATCTCCAGGCTGCTCGGCCCCTGTGTTCCAAGTAAAGAAGCAACGTCTGACAGAAGACCTGCCACCAGTTGTGCAGTCTTGCAACTTGTGCTGCAATAGTTCGGCTGCTGTGGACCAGATCTGAATGCTGCAAAGCAGCGCGCGCCCGCGATCTAAATTGGCCTGAGTCGTAGACATCAGACATTCTCCCTGGCATCATGGCTTTCCGAAACGAACCTGCATAAACTTATGCTGGTGCCGCGATTTGTCCAGATCCCATGGCGAATGTGAAGCCTTCCACAGAAAGGCAAAAACCTGGTTCCGCGCGGCGCCCAGCAGCGTGATAAGCCGCCAGTGGACCGCCAGTGGCCGAGTAACCCCTCCCTTGGCGCAGGTTGCGCGGCCCTTCGGCTCCTTCTTTTCAGGTCCCACTGTCCTAGCACATCGGCGCTAGGGCGGAAGTGGGGGAAGGGGGGGGGTCTGGCTCCGGACCTCGGCTTCGTGCGACTGTTTGCCGCCGCAAAGCGTCCAATCCACTTCGAAATCGTCGGACCAGGCGTCGCATCCGTGTCGAATCCGCGTCGAACCCACGCCGAATCCGCGCCGAGTCAGCACGGAGCCCGCGTCGCGAGGTCCCCCGCAGACGCAGCGTGAGGGGAGGGGGCGCGAGGGCCCGCGCGGATCGGCAAGGCCATGCATAAGAAGCCGATCCAGGTCGGTGTCGTTCTCCCGGGGCGCGGGGCGCCAAGAAGACTTGCACAGTGGCGCCGCCGGCCGACGAGTCCTCCGAGCTGGAGGGGCCCAGGGACACACACACACACACACACACACAACGAGGCGGACGCCAACGCCTCGGCTTCCGCACACTGTTTCCCACATGTTCTGGGCTCTGCGTTCGTCTTCCCCCCCTCCAGGTCCATATCTTTCCATGCTTTCCTGTGAGGCGACGAGTCGTTGCGTCTGTGTGTTTTTTTCCCTCCTGTCGGGCGCCCCTGCTGCGCCGGGGGCGGGGGGGGGCACGCCGCGCCAGACCTGCAGCTCGCGCCCAGCAAACTTCTGTGGCCACTCCGGGGGCCTCCCATACCATCTTGTTGGCTCTTACGGATCGACGCTCGTCGACGGTAAATCGGGGCCAATCGCCGCTGAATCGACGCCAATCTAATCGACGCTGGTCGACGCTGCATTGGCGCTATCCCAGCGACTCCCAGACGCCAATCGACGCGAATGGACGCTAAAGACAGAGTTGCGAGGGTACAGAAGGCTCTCATGATCTGCTACCGACCGCATGGAAACGGACAGCCAAGCTACCGTCATAATGAACGCAATAGAAAACAACAACGCTCCCTCCTGGCTCAAAAGGCGGCTGGGTCCACGAGAGACGACATAGGACCAATCATAAAATAGGGGAACAAAAAGTGACGTAAGCATAAAAACTCGGAGGTCCGCGCGGATTTCTCGGATCGGCGCTGGACACCACTCCCTGGCGCGCGGAGCGCGCCAAGGGCGGCGCCGGAGGCGCCGCCAGGGGGCCCCAGCGCCGATCCGAGAAATCCGCGCGAACCTCAGAGTTTTTATGCTTATGTCACGTTATGTTCCCCCATAGAAGGGCCCGGTGAACCGCGAGAGCCACCTCTGAGCCTGATCTGTTCGTTGTTCTTCTCTGCTACACGTTCTGTGGCCGTCTCTTGACACTAGCTCGTTCTGTGTCCGTTCTTCTCTGCTACACGTTCTGTGTCCGTTCTGTGTTCGTTGCTCATTGCCTTCAGGCTGCGCGTCCGTCTCTGTTACACGTTTGGCTCGGTGCGCCGGTCTCCTGCTGCGGGCACCGCTGTCTCCTCAAGCGCCCACCGTGGGTGCTACCTGCCTCGGCCAGCGGTCACACTCACACGGCTCCTCCGCACGCTCGTCGTCTGCAGGAATCCTGGCCCGTGTGATCATGGGTGGGGCGTTGACTGCAGCTCGAAGCCCCGGGAGCACGCGGTTTTGCGCCTGGTGCACCCTACCCCTACGCTGCCTCTCCCTCCTTCCACCTCCCCTACTGGCTTGTCCCATGTATGCCGCCGCTCTTCGTGCTGCCGGCGGCGGCTAAGGCTGGCGCCCTTTGCGGGTCTCCTGTTTGCCAACCCCTTTGTCGGAGTCTGAGACGCTGAGTCTGCTGTCATGTCTCCACGGGTGCATCACGCGCCAACAGCCACGTAACAAAATCAATCGTCTAGTTCAAGCTGGACCTTAAGGGGCTCCGCAAGCGGCAAAACGGCTTCTTTCACTGTTTACAAAACAAATGTCTCTTGAAAACGGAAACGGGAGAAAAAACTGCGACCTGCAACGGCAAAACAAAAACGGCTCCAGGATTGGGACTGAGGCCGACCCGGAGAAATAACAACGACGGAACCTGCAACAAAAACTGCGACGGAACCGGCAAATCAGCCTGGCGAAAGACCCAACCATATGCAGTTCTGAGTACTGCAATTGTGAATTTCTTCTTCGGTGGCGCTCCCTATGGGGCCACGAAACGCTGTACTGGATGGGTGAAACGCAGGGAGCAAGGGCCGTCTTGCGTGGTTGCGGACGCATGCGTGCGGTGCCACTGGGACCTTCCGTGGAGCTCCCCATGGGGCCACGAAACGCTGTACTGGGTGGGTGAAACGCAGGGAGCAAGGGCTTTGCTGGGTGGTGGCGGACGCATGCGGGCGGTGCCACTGGGACCTTGAGACGCAGGGAGCCAGGGCTGTGCTGGGTGGTGGCGGACGCATGCGGGCGGTGCCACTGGGACCTTCGGTGGAGCCCCCTATGGGGCCACGAAACCTTGTTCTGGGCGGGTGAAACGAAGGGAGCAATGGCTGTACTGGGTGGTGGCGGACGCATGCGGGCGGTGCCACTGGGACCTTCGGTGGAGCTCCCTATGGGGCCACGAAACCCAGTACTGGGTGGGTGAAACGAAGGGAGCAATATCTGTACTGGGTGGTTGCGGACGCATGCGGACGGTGCCACTGGGACCTTCGGTGGAGCCCCTTATGGGGCCACGAAACCCTGGTACTGGGTGGGCGAAATGGAGGGAGCAAGGGCTGTGCTGGGTGGTGGCGGACGCATGCGGGCGTTGCCACTGGGACCTTCGGTGGAGCTCCCTATGGGGCCACGAAACGGTGTACTGGGTGGGTGAAACGCAGAGAGCACGGGCCGTGTTGGGTGGTGGCGGACGCATGCGGGCGGTGCCACTTGGACCTTCCGTGGAGCTCCCTATGGGGTCACGAAGCAATGTACTGGGTGGGTGAAACGCAGGGAGCAAGGGCTGTGTTGGGTGGTGGCGGACGCATGCGGGCGGTCCCACTGGGGGCTTCGGTGGAGCTTCGTATGGGGCCACGAAGCACTGTGCTGGGTGGGTGAAACGCATGGAAGAAGGAGGAGGGAGGGGAGGAAGTGGAGGAAGAGAGGAGAAGAGGAACGCGGGGACCGTCTCTTCAAAACGGGGACCCAAAACCACAGGATGGTTGGGAAAAAACTGCAACACGGAACTGGCAACAAAAACGGTCCCATCGTTTCCAAGGCCCACTGACGGCTGGACCCCATGGTTTTACCTCCTCGTGGAGATCCTCGTCCTCCTCCTCCTCCTCCTCCTCCTCTTCAACCGTCTCCTCCTCCTCCTCCTCCTTCTCCTCTTCCTTCTCCTCCTCCTCTTCATTCTCCTGATCCTTCCTCTCGGGCAGCCGCATGACCAATCGGCATAGAATCGGGAAGCTGGGTCTAGTCGACATGTGCGTCGGACCTGGTGGCATCGGCACGGCATCGCGATCGAATCGGATCAGCCACGCCAGGGTGCCCAGCAGCGCCGTGCGAACATCGGGTCGCATCGGATCGTCGGCACATCGGAATCGGGCCGGGCCTGCCGGAACCAGTACCGAACCAGCTCGGTCGGAGCGAAATGGGCCCTGGCTGCTGACCGCCGTTGCAACAGCCCAGGCGACAAAGGCTCCTGGCGACCGCGCGGGGGGGAGAAACGCACCGCTCGGCAGCGAGGGAGATGGGGCGGGGGGGGGCAGAAAGTGGAGTGTCTTGGGCACGTCAGGTCGTGGGGAGGTCGGTGTGTCAGGTCAGGTCAGGTCGTCAGAAGGGCGAAGGAGGGAGGGAGGGAGGGAGGGAGGAACGAGACAGCTGTCGGGAGATGGGGCAAGAGAAAGGAGGCAGGTGGAAACCAGAACCGACGTCGACGACGCGCAAATGAAACACAGCAATCGTCTCATCAAAACTCGCAAGTGCCCAGGACTGCTCACAGTCAAACAAAAAAAAGCCCTGGCCAACGTAACGTTTCCCGGAGCCGAGGCACTGCGGACTAGACCTGCAACGAGTCGAGGACGCAAGAGGGAGGCAGGAGGCAGGAGGGAAAGGAGAAAGGGGAGACGGATGAGGTGGGAGCGGAGGCGGGAGGGAGGAGGACAAGCAGACATGGAGGGATGAGGAATGAGGGAATGGGGAAGGCAGCGGCCTTCTCTGAGAAGCCGTCTGTGGCTTCGGGGCAACTTCAGAAGACGTCGCATACGGCGCGAGGGCTTCTGAGAAGCCCCTCCGCCTGCTGAGAAGGCCCGCCCTCTCAGATTTCCCCCCTGGGTTCGCAGCCGAGCTTCCTCCATGCGCCAGCATGATTCAGGGATCCGCAGATGTGGCGCGTGGGCGCCAGCTCCGCGGATAGGGGATGGGCCACTGCCGCCCGGGATTCGGAGACGGAACGCCCCGACTCTGCACGGAAACGGGACCCGTCGCTATGACCTGCGCGCCGCTGATCCATGATGGCGATCCCTCGGCTCCTCATCATCGCCGTTCTTCCTGTCGTTCGCGTTCCTCCCCCGCCTCCAATGTTGTGTGCTCCGTCTGCTCGTCGTCCTCCCTCTGCTGCTCGTCGTCCTCCTTCTGGTGTTCGTCCTCTTTCGTTGCTAGTCCTCGTTATGTTGTGCATCGCCCAAAATCGGGATGCACGCGTCCGAACTGACCTGCATTGCGCATCATCCTCGTGATCCCCCATTTTCCCTCCTCCTTCCTTCCGTCCTCTGCTCCAGGGTTCTTCGCCGTCTGTGCGACGTCCTCACTCCTCAACTCTACTCCCTCTCTCGCCACCTTCCCCACTCATCCCTACGTTGATCCTCCTCACCTTTTTCTCGCCCTCCCCCCTGCTCCCTCCCTTTCATCCGTTTGCTGGTATTCCAACCCATGTTCCCTCTCCTCCAACTTAGACGACCCCACCTGGTATCTCGCACTTTCACACATCTGCCTCGAACTGTCTGGGCATCCCCATCTTCCCCGTCCCCATTCCCCTCCTAATATCCTGGTCTGTAGCGTACGAATAACCGTACAACACATCCTTGTCCTCCATTGAGGACGCCTGCTCGATGGCGGCTGAAACGCTTGTATCTATACCGCAACCGTGTCTCGTCGGGCGCAAAACCTGTGCAACAATCATGGGACCAACGTTCCCAGTTTGAAATGTGTTTGCCCGTGCAATTCTTCGTCTACTAACCCTCGCTCTCCCTGGAACCCCCGTGCCCTCTTCACCTCCAGATCCCTTCACTCCCCATTCCCCCGCATCAACCTCCCCATCCCTCTTTCTCGGCGCAGGCCATCAGGGGCGCAGAAGGATGGATCCCCGAGGAGCCTGGCGCAAGCACGGCTCTGCCTTCTCAACTGGACCCCCCCGCGCGGTCGCCCAGGACCCCGGGGGCGGGCTGCCCGGGGCTAGCCCACCACCGAGCAGACGGTCCTGGCATCTTCGCCTTCAAGTGCACCTCCCTCTGTTCGGGGTACAGGCTGTCATAGATGATGGAAGTGATGCCGCTGGCGACGAGCACACCTGGCAGGTTGCCCGGCAACGAGTTGTGTCCGCCCTTTCCAATTGAGGGGGCGGCTACTCTCAGTCCACGGGGAAGAGTTCGGAGACAACTCCTGGGAGGTTGTCGTGGGAACGAACAGATGCGATTAAAGAGGATTTGGGGACTATTCGGCTGGACTCGATACGCCTGGGACTGAGCAAGATTATGCCAGATTGCTAAGGATTGCGCAAGATTGCGTGGGAATGCTGCGGATCAGGTCGGTTCGCGACCACGGAAGCTACCAGCGCCGATGCTGAATGAAACCTTTTCGGAACTACATCCTAAATCAGGGCTGTGATTGACCTGCTTTTTTGAATTATATATACACATATAAACAAACAACTTCCTGCATGATTGATCGAACTACACGTGTGTGCTGGACTCACGATCGCTAGTTCGCTGGCCGGGAAAACGTCAGGTACCCCGAGGCCGCCGCACTCACGCCTATCTCGTCCTCGCGTCCCCAAACACTGAACAAATACAAGTCACAGACATTTCAACAACCACCGACCTGCTTCTCCTCCTGCAGTGAAGACACCAACTGGGGCGGTACATTCCAGGGGGAGGGACATCGAAATACTTGTTCTAGAAAAAAGGAATATACACGTGGAGTTATCATTATATTGCGCAGGGTGGCTGGAGCTCCGACCAATTTATTTCGGCACGGCACCCGCCCCCCATCGCCCCGACCAACAACTAGCGCGCTCCTTCCGCATTTTTTCTTTCGGCACGGACCCGCAGACCCCCCCATCCCGCGCGCCCCCTCCGCGTCGCCCCACCCGCCAGCCAGCGCGCCCCCTCCACCCCGACCCCTCGGCACGGCAACGCCCCCCCCCATCCCGAACGCCCTCTGTGCATCAACCCGCCCGCCAGCCAGCGCGCCCCTTCGCCTTTTTTTAACTATTATTTCGGCATGGCATCGTCCCCCCATCCCGAGCGCCCCCCTCCATCACCCCATCCACCAGCCAGCTCTCCCCTTAGCCTCCACCCCTCGGTGCAAGAACCATGGCACGCGTGCTACTTGTCGGGGTGAGTTGTCCACTGTACTGCTCGCGCAAAAATCCCACCCACCCACCCGCACTGAATTGTCGACCCGCGCAATCCACACACACACACACACCTGCAACTTGGCATGCAACCCCCATGCGGCGGCGATTGCGATGAGTGTTTGGCGCAGGCTGGTGTATTTTTGCGACCGCGACAACCCACGCCGACGCATGCACGCGCCCCACCCGCCAGCCCGCGAGCGCCCCTCTCCGCCCCTACCCCTCGGCACGGCACCGCTCCCCCGAACGCCTTGTGCATCAACCCGCCCGCCAGCCAGCGCGCCCCTCCGCCCTTTTTCTCGGCACGGCACCGCCTCCCCCATCCTGAGCGCCACCTCCATCAACCCATCCACAAGCCAGCGCGCCCCCTCCACCCCGACCCTTTTATTTCAGCGCGGCCCCGCCCCCCCATCCCGCGCGCATCTTCCGCGCCCCCCAAACTGATCAGCCAGCGCGCGCTCACCTTACTAATCGACCATCCGCACCCCCCACCTACCAGCCAGCGCGCCCCCTCCGGCCCGCGCCCCCTCCGCATCCCCGCGTCCGCCAGCCAACGCCCCCCTCCGCAGCGACCGTTTTTTATTTCGACGCGGCACCGTCCCCCCCAACCCGACCAGCCCTTTTCCATTTCATTTCGGCACGGTACCGCCCCCCCCCCACACGTCACCCCAACAACCAAGCGCCCCCTCCGGCCCGCGCCCCCTCCGCATCCCCGCGTCCGCCAGCCAACGCCCCCCATCCGCAGCATTTTTTATTTGCATCACCCATTTACTACGCAACCATCCCAGCGGCACCGCCCATCCATTCGCGCCCCCTTTGACCCCTTCCAGCGCGCCCCCTCCGCCTTGACCCCTTCATTTCGGCACGGCACCGCCCCCCTCGCATCCCGCGCGCCCCCTCTGCATCCCCCCACCCGCCAGCCAGAGCGCCCCCTCCGCCCCGGCCTCTTTTGTTTCGGCGCGGCACCGCCCCCCCGCATCCCGCGCGCCTCTTCCACATCCCCCACCCACCAGCCAAAGCGCCACTTCCGCCCCGACCTCTTTATTTCGACACGGCACCGACCCGCCCCGACCCCTCACGACAGGCCCCCCACATCCTCCCACCCACCAGCCAGCGGGACCCCTCCGCCCGCGTCCCCTCCGCACCCCCCCACCCGCCAGCCAGCGCGTCCCCTCCGCTCCGACCCCTTTTGTTGCGGCGCGGCACCGCCCCCTCCGACTTGACCCCTTCATTTCGGCACGGCACCGCCCCCTACATCCCGACCGAGCGCCCCTTCTGCATCACCCCGCCCGCCAGCCAGCGCGACCCCTCCGCCCCGACCACTTTATTTCGGCACGGCACCGCCCCCCCATCCCGAGTGCCCCCCCCATCGCCCCATCCACCAGCCATCTCTCCCCTTCGCCTCCTCCACTCGGTGCAAGAACCATGGCACTCGTGCCACTTGTCGGGGTGAGTTTTCCACTCTACGGTTCGCTCAAAAACGCACCGACCCACCCGCACTGAATTGTCGACCCGCGCAATCCTTCCACACACACCCACCTGCAACTTGGCATGCAAACCCCATGCGGCGGCGATTGCGATGAGTGCTTGGCGCTGGATGGTGTATTTTTGCGGCTGCGACAACCCACGCACGCACGCGCGCGCAGCGGCCAGCCAGTTTGGCGCGGTCGACGCGGCCGCGGTGGCGCTGACCGCTGGGCACATCCCAGCGGGCATTTTAGCGCGAGCCGGCGACTTGGGCAGACGCGTGATCATGCCAACGTCGACAACGGTATACACGATGAGGATGCTAGCGATGCTGGTGAAGATGCGGACAACGACGACGGTACGGCCAGTGACGGCGCGGATGCTGATCACCCCGACGACGATGACGACGTCCTCGCGTCGATGATGAAGGTTTTGGAAATGCTTCGGCATGAGCGCGGGGGCGACGCGCGAGAGTGGCCCGCATGGAATTATTTGAACCGGATCGTGCCCCCCCCCCCAGCACGTGCGCAAGGGCGTGCGAATGAGTTCGGTTCGGTGTGCGGCGCCAGAGGCCCGTTTGACAGAACTCATTGAACATGTTTGTCTTTGCTTCGTTTGAAAAAAAAGGATTCGCAAGAGCGCGGGCGCACGCTGTTTAATGAAACTGGTGTTGCGAAGCCATGTGTGTTTGTAGGTTTTTTGCTGCACGCTCGGTTTTGACATCACTGCGGGAACGAAGCATTGTTGGACGGATTCCGACATGCGCGCGCGACGACGCGGGGGCGTGCACTTCGTCCCGCGTGTTGCAGACAAGGGTTCTCGCGACGGGGCGCGCGCAAGGGCGTTCGAGCGATTTCGGCAAGCCCGCGCGAAGCGGCAGCATGTCCTGAAGATGATTAAGAAACCATGGTTTCCGCAACCATCGCAACAAAACGCGCAACTTATGTTTGAAAACCAGTGTTGCGAAACCAAATGTTGTCATATGAGGTTTTGGGCACTCGATTTTGAAATTCCTACGGAACCTCAAGTGTTTAAAAGGGTGTCGGCATGCGCGCGCGACGACGCGCGCGTGTGCACTTCGTCTTGTGTTTTGCAAGAGACTCTTAGC